TTAATGTGTCATGTATGAAGGACCATTCGAGAGAATCAAATGCCTTTTCAAAGTCAATAAAAAGTAACAGGCCCGGGATATTCTTTCCTGTGGCATACTGGATAATAGAGTCAATGAGTCTGATATTTTCGCCTATAAATCTGCCGTTCCAAAATCCTGTTTGATCATGATCGATAAGGTTTGAAAGTACTAGTTTAATTCGGTTTGCAATAGATTTTGCTGCGATTTTGTAATCAGTGTTCAAAAAGGTAATAGGCCTCCAATTTTTGATGAAGTATAGTTCCGCATCTTTTTTTGGAATTAGTTTTATAACCCCTCGTCTTTGCGTTACTGAGAGGCAGCCAGAGTCAAAAGTATAGTTGAGGGCCGAGATTAAAAAAAAGAAATGTGTTTCCAAAACACTTTGTAGAATTCGGCAGGGAGTTCATCCGTGCCTGGCGTTTTGTCAGACTCCATCTTCTTCAGGGCTTCGAAACATTCCTTTTGAGTTAAGGGGCCTTCACATGAAGTTTGTTCTTCATTGGTCAAAGAAGTGGAGTTTACTTAAGAGAGGAATTTTGACTGGAGGCTGTCGTGGTTTTTTGACGTATAAAGATTTTTATAAAAAGCCGTACATTCAGATAAGATATCTCTGTCTGTGGTGACAAACTCAGTGTCATTAATTTTTAATTGACTAACTGTTCCTTGTTTACAGTGCCTTTTTTTGAGATTTAGAAAGTATCCGGAGTTCTTTTCACCGTCGTTGTACCATTGCGACTTTGACCTGAGAACTTTATTAAAGTTCTCACTCACACACTCACTCACCTAATGATAGCGCCTTTGGTTCGATACTCAAAAATGCTTTCTAGCTCTTTCTTTAAGGTAAAAATTCTTTCTGCAACAATATGATTGAGGGGTTACTATTGCTTGCATTGTCTAAGTGTTTTTTCTAACAAGGCGATTTCGCGTTCCAACATTTCTTCGCGTTTCCTTGTTGTCACGTTTTTGTATCCAGCATAAGATATTGATTTTTCTCGCACCTTTAATTTAATCATCTCCCAAAGCAGAGCTGGGTTCACTGAGGTGTCTTCTTTGTATTGGTTCACAGTGCTTTCAATTGCTGTTTTAATTTCTTGGACATATCTCATTTCGGATAAAAGGGACGTGTTCAACTTCCAAAAACCTTTGCCTCTGGGGTTCGAGTGTAAAGCTAGATTCAGAGTAATCATCGAATTATCCGTTTTGAAACCAGGAAAAATATCTGCATGGGTCACATCACATAAAGATGATTCACTTACTAGGAAAAAATCGAGTCGGCGATGCATGACTGGTTGGTTTTGGCGCCAAGTATATCTCCTGGCCTCTGGGTTGAAAAGTCTCCAAATATCAGTCAAACCATGATTTTCAGAGAAATCTCGAATC